ACTTCAAGTTGAAACTTTTCCTGGAAGTTTGCCTTACCATGAGCTTTCGTTTGAGCCTTGTCTCGTTGACCAACTCGGGTATAATAGTCTGTTGAACCATGATGATTCAGTATTTCGTTAGAACAGCGCATAAAAATGAAAAATTGGCAACGCTGTACAGCCTAAACGAGGTTTCACTTCAAGTTGAAACTTTTCCTGGAAGTTTGCCTTACCATGAGCTTTCGTTTGAGCTTTGTCTCGTTGACCAACTCGGGTATAATAGTCTGTTGAACCACGATGATTCAGTATTTCGTGAGTACAGCGCATAAAAATGAAAAATTGGCGACGCTGTACAGCCTAAACGAGGTTTCACTTCAAGTTGAAACTTTTCCCAGAAGTTTGACTTCCCATAAGCTTTCGTTTGAGCCTTGTCTCGTTGACAAACTCGGGTATAAAAGTCTGTTGAACCATGACGATTCAGTATTTCGTGAGTTTAGCGCATAAAAATGGAAAATTGGCAACGCTGTACAGCCTAAACGAGGTTTCACTTCAAGTTGGAACTTTTCCTGGAAGTTTGCCTTACCATGAGCTTTCGTTTGAGCTTTGTCCCGTTGACCAACTTGGGTGTACTAGTCTACTTATGCACCGGACTAATAGTCCAATATCCTTGATTTTAGCACATGAAACGGGAAAATTGGCAACGCTGTACAGCCTAAACCAGGGGTCACTTCAAGTTGAAACTTTGCATGGAAGTTTGCCTTACCATAGGCTTTCATTTGAGCACCGTCCGGTTGACCAACTCGGGTATAAAAAAAAGGGGCGAAAAAACACTACTTTTTGGCGAGGCTCTTTATACATGACACTCTATTCGACCCCCGCCTTCAAACTGGCGTTATATTGGTGGATTGAAATGAACAAATTTCACCTCGCGTCAATTTTTCATCTGACAATAAAGTATTTTTTTGTTTGAAAAAAAAAAAAAAAAAAAAAAAAAAAAAAAAAACCCTGGAAGAAATTAGGGATCGCAGCCCAGGAATTCCCTTGCAGGTTTAGCCTCTCTTTCTCCTAATGTGCTACGTACATCAGCTCCCTTGGCCTGGCGCAATAGTGAAGTGTCCAAAAATTTCCCAATATCCCGCAGTATCGAATGCATCCCTTCAGACTCCAAGGATTGCAGTATGAGCGAGCTCATATTTAAACCACCCGCGGGGTATGACACAGCCCCCCCCCTCCCCAAAAAAATCCTATACTTCTTGATCTTGGGGGTTTGTTGGCACCCATGCAGAACCGCTGCGCCGATAAACCCTTCATGGTTTCACTCGCCCACCCCTCGGATCAGGGTGGCATGAAACGTAAGAAAGAAATGAAAGATTGGAGATTTCAGTGAAATATTTAATGAAATATCACGAGGATGTGAAATATTTCATATTTTTCAGGGGATAGAGTATGCAACCCGCACTCAAACACACAGAAATAGGAGAAAGTCACAATTTTTACATTTTGCGGAACATGAAAAGGAACCTGTATTTTTCAATATCTTTCATAAATTTCTGAAATTTCATGAAATATTTCACGTGAATTTTCAAGATTTTATTTTTCATGAACTTTAGCCACCCTGTCTCAGAGTATGCTCCTCGCCCTCGTCCGCCCCGGTTGAATACTGCCGCGCTAAGGAGAAACGCCGTATGAACCTTCAGACGTTGCCGAATTTCCTCCGGCAAATCACTCATTTTCAGAAAAATTATTGAATATTTTTCTGCCAATATCTTAGATTATTTTTTTTTGTAATTTGATCTAAAGTGTCCGAAGATCTCAAGGGAGATTGTTCACAATTTAATAAACATTTTATCGTAGGAAATTTGACAACTCTCGAATGTTCATACGGCGTTCTTCCTTAGCACGGCAGAACAGGGCTTCGGGTCCAGTGTGCGGCGCTCTAGCCACCCACTGTGTGTTGGTTACCTGGCGGCGAGCGGTGTGTGACGCAGGTGTGGAGGGGATGGGCGGCGGGTGAGGAGGTACCGCGACGCGGCGCGGCGACCCAACTCAACTCCAGCGGGCTCCGCGCTCCTTGCTGCCGTCGAATTCCTCAAACAGTTCCAACCATCAGCTCAGTCCAACGCGAAGTCCACCCGTTTTCGTTGCAGCAACTGCGGTCGTGGCCAAAACTAACCTGGCGCCCCCATATAACGACCCCCATTTCCCTCGAACCCCTGATAAGAACAAGGTAGTCGCGGAATTCCTTTTGGATACTGTGCTTTCGAGTGAATTCAACCCGTGAACGTTAACGAGTCTTCATCAGGGAAGTGATCGTTAGGTTTCCTTTCTCCTATCCTGTTCCGTGCCCCATTTCGCCTTCCAAGTGCGCTGGAATTGTAGTTTTCCACCCTACACGGTTCGGGAAATTCGTTGGAGTTGGTGTTTCTTCGAGTGGAATTCCTTTTGGTGTTTAGTTCGGGGCTTGCCTCTCGGTGCAGCCCAGGTAACATGGCTACCTGTTGTGTTGAATCAGTGCACCTGTGAGGTGGAGTAGTGTTGTTTTGGATCTGCTTAACTCACTTTGGATTACCGTGCAGCATTCTGCGGACAAAAGTAAGGGTTTTATACACTTAGTTTATCGATCGATAAGTTGGTTTGTTTACTAGGAGCTAATCTCGGTGCATCCGCGATTAGAACCTGATCACCTACTTTTAATCTGGGCTCTTTGTTATCAGACGAACGACATGGAGCCGTCTGATTTCATGTCTGGCATTATTGTTTCGATATGATTTTCAGGTGATTTGTTGTGGGCATCGTACCGGACTTTTTTGTCAACAATAGATCACTGACCTACAATAGTTGATAGGTTTGTTTACCTAATATTTTGAACACCACTGCCCCCCTCCTTGCAAGGCAGTGTTGCCACAGTTGGCACTAAATGATGCATTCCAGGTGTGTTGACCCGTGGAATGCGGCGGAAAATCTGGTTTTTCAGTCGAATTTTTCCTCTAAACCATAGATGTGTAAATGTTGACACAGCAAACAAAGCTGAAATACCTATTTGGAAGGCACTACACAATGTTGCAACAACCATGCTAAGAATAGGGCAATGTTGCAAAAGGCTATGTTGTGTAAATGTTAAGTAGCATGGTTAAAAGGCACTCTGGAGAATTGTTGAGGAATCTAGCTATTGCCAGAGTTGCATATTGTTGTGTTTTAACAAAATACTTGCGCAATACCCAGCTCATCATTCCAGCAATATTTTCAAGTTACTTCAACATGGAAAATGAGGAAAACATGGAGGAAAAGCTATCTTCCACCTTTTCTCTCATTAATTTTACTGTACCGTAGTAGCTTGTTACTGCATTGTTCACATGGATAAGTATTTCTGACCCAGTCAGTACGAAGACTTGGCAACATTGCTTGCAGTATTGATGATATGAATCGCATTAAGCAAAAAGAAACCAGCGCAATTACAGTGCTTTCAAAATCGTTCAACTTCTCACTTTCTTTTAAAAATACTTAATAAATGCACAGCACTAACATTTACACAATTATTTTCCTTTAAAATTAACAATTTTTTGGTGGGAAGCCAAAATTATTTGCTATTCTGGGAGATTTTTTCGATAATCATAAAGAGGCAACAATTTTACAACACTGTGATTGCACTGGTCACTTTTTGCTAAATACGATCCATTTCACTGAAAAAAATACCCACCCTGCAAGGGGGTAGCAGGCAACATTGCTAGGAATGTTGCCAGATATTATTGGTCTCTCATGTTTACATGGATAAGTATTTCTGACCAAGTCAAGATCACGATTTGGCAACATTGCTTGTTATATCGATGACAATATGTAAAAAAAACATCCACCCTGCAATTTGGTAGCAGGCAACACTGGCAACACTGCAAGGGATGTCGCTAGATACTCTTGGTCTCCCAAAATTGAGGTTTAATTGGGACACAATGTTAGAGATAGAGAGGAATATTTTAAGGAGCTATTGGTACAATCTTTCCTGTACCTAAATATTTCTGTCATTATTTTCAGGCAATATTCTAGGTCAAATTGATATATTATCGCCTTGCAATATTGAAAACACTATTGCCCAAAATAATGTCATGGAATAATTCACAGTTCAAATTGGACCGCGTTTAACAGAAAGGAACCAAGCCACATCAGCTATCTCCAAATTTAATTGGGAAATGTATTTTTCTTTATAGAAACGGTTGTACGGATTTTCTTGCAAATTTCAGTGAATCTCCTCCACAGTACGAAGCAAATTCCTTTAAATTTTCAAAAGAATCCGCACAAACGTTCTCTCGTAAAAAATTAAATTGCCCGGTTTTTGGCAATACCTGATGTGGCTTGGTTCCTTTCTGTTAAACGCGGTCCAATTGAAATTCAGGTTGATAAAAAGTACCGTACCTTGGTACTGCTTTTTTGCTGCTTTAGTCGTGCAAATAATGATAAATATCCCCACCCTGGCTCTATTTCTGTCCGTCTCCAAAGTAATGGTGCCTCAACATCGACGCAACATCCTCTATCTCTAGGTATCGCCAGGGTTATTGGGGAATTTTGAAGCAAAGTTGATGTAATATCATTTTGCACGACATCTCCGAATCATTGCTGAAATGATCGAAACTTCCCAAGAAGTGTCCTACGGATCTTGCATCTGAACAGTTGCGAAACTAGCGATGAGCTGCGTAATCTACTTCCTGTACGTTTTATCAGCCGATTTGAGGGCCTCTGAAACTTCTAGGGAAAAAACAACGATATTCTGGAGATTGCGCATGTCGCTGGAACGTCATCTTATCAGAAACAAGGATTACGAGGGTGTAGAGAGAAAAAAGAACAAGTAGACATCTTATCATAGTGCATGTATAGTGTTATCGCAAATTTTTACCCACACTTTTAAGCCGGTCTTTGTTGGTGGCAGGGAATATTTTTGAAGCTTCTCTCTTTTCTTGTTGAAGAAAAATGAAAGAAAGAAAGACGAGTTTTTACAGACAAATATTGTCAAATGAAGCGGTGATACGTTGAACTCATCGGGCCTTCCCAGAGAGAAAATATTTTTGAGACCCCGCACTGTGGGTTTCTGTGTCCCTAATTGTAACGTTATTTTCGGGGGTCAACCCGACCTTTCGCCACTTGATGATTGCTGGATGGCGTTCGACAAACTGGCTTTCCGAAGTGCCTTCTACAACATCCATCGGTCGTCATCCGGCGAATAAATTGCTGAACGACCAGTGCCTCAGGCGTGAGGGTTTTTCAGTGGAAGGGCGCAAAAACCTTGCAACGCTGCTCCGACTGCAGTTTTGCCTGCAGTGCACAAATGCACTCAATTCCGAATTACTTGATCATAGAAAAATGAAGGAAAATACCTGCGAGGAATGGGCATAAAGTCATAGGAGAGCCTCAAAACCGGCCAGTCACGAGTGATGCGCGAAGATGCAGAATCATCTTGGTAGCATTCCAAAGCGTAGACGCCCCTTCGCCTATAAAATACTCAATCATCGAACTGATTTTAAAATTTCGTCTCATCCATCGCATTGCTGCGGCAGCCAATGCGTGGTCCCTAATATGTATATTTCATCTCTGGGTACTATGGACTGATAGACCGAAGTAAGGAAAAAAGCGTCGCACAACCTCCTTTCGCGTCAAAAGTGCTCGCAAAATACGATTAAAATACATACTGTTAATTCAAAGGAAAATCATCTAAACACATTAGGGGTAGACGTGCTTTGTCTGCCTTCGAAATCTTCAGTTCAAATTTTTCTTTCGCGGAAAACGGGAAAAAGAAAAAAACCTCACAATCAACGCTGGTTGAATCGCCCATTGAAAGCTGTCGGATCATGTGAAAAATAACTACATATAATAGATTAATAAAGATGCACTTAAAATAACTTTCTTCCTCCTTAGATGCGCAGTCTTCATACAGCCCTTTGCGCTAAAATTTCGAGATCAAAGCCAGCGAAATTAGAAAGCCATTATAGGTATAAATAGTTTCATTCTACGAAGAAGAAGTGCATTAACTATCAATGAAAAGTGGGCTTTCTAAAAAAACAATGTTCCTAACGTTGGTTAGATTACCCTTTTTTTGTACAAGTAAAGTAATACTTCAACTTTCGCCATCACATTTGCTTAGTTTTGTTCCTTCGTACGATACAAAATGACTTCACCTACTTCCCCTACATTCCGTGCTCTTTTTTTTAGCAGGGCAAGTACAATATACGTGAGTCACGGAGACTTCAGTTTTTTGATGAACGGGAAGTTCGAGCTCACAAACAAGGAAAATGCTACTTTCCAAAATACCAGTCGATTTTGGAAACTCACACTGCTTCACGTGACATTTTTATCAGAAAGCATGTGTTTTAATGCTCGTCTTCCACCCTTGCTTAGCGTTATAGGAGAATCTCTTCATGACGTCATGTTTCACGTCCTAACGGAATTGATAACTTCATCGTAACGTTTCTTTTTCCGAGGGATATTTCTGCGTGTGCCACGTTCGACAACTCCGCTTGTCGGATAAGCCAATTTGTTGTCAAAATCCGTGTTGCACTTGTTTGCGCACTTGTTCGTTGTGCCGGGTGGGTGTCGTACGGATGCCTCGATATCGGAGAAGCTTGAACCTCGAAAACACCGATTTGAACTGGGAATCCGAGGTGAACCGTCAAGTGTTTGTGTCCGAAGTAAGCGCAATTTTTAATTTACTTCGAGTGCTCTAAAAGCTTACAAAGTTCTCAACATTCTAAGCCCCTGAGCAAGAGCGGCTTACGAACCAACGTCATCTTATTCTTCTGTCGTGCTAAGGAAAAACGCCGTGCGAACCTTCAGATGTTGCCAAATTTCCATAGACAAATCGCGGATTTTCGGAGGAAAAAATTGGTCGACATTTTTCTCCCCATTTTTCAGAGAATTTTGTTTGTAACTTGATCTAAAACATCTAAAAATTTCAAGGAGAATAATGCATAATTTTCTGCAAAAATAATTACCTTCTGAGAGAAAATTTTGCAACATTCGAACGATCATACGGTGTTCTTTCTTAGCACGGCAGTCTATGATGTCAGCATTGCCGGTTTTGGTCAGTCAACCGAAATTATGGCAAGAACCGATCAGAATCAGGCATATTCCGAAACAAAATTGGCAATACGGTTACTTGCTTATCGTGCTACTTGACGGTACTTGAAGTAGGTAAATCAATTCATTAAGCTCTGAGTGTCATTAAGCCGGAAGAGAAAGAAAAATTCTGCGCGTTTTGTTGAGGATCATTGAGATAATAAGAGGTCTTCGACGCTATTCAACTAAATCAAGTATTTGGATGATAAAAATAATGTCAATTGCGACTAATACCTTTGACCAACAAAATTAATCCCTGTAGTCAACGCGAAACACGAGTTGGTGGACAACCTCGCTTATCTCAACTGAAGATGCTGGCGTGTTACTGTCTATAATTAAGTAGACAAATAACCGCGAATTTCGACGTAGGTAGATGAACTATTATTTAAGTAAAGTCAATCGACGCACATCACCAGCCAAGGGACGAACGAATTAGCTTTCAGTACGGGATCCTCTAGGATAACATTGACTTTTTACAATGATTGCATGAGGCCAGG